TCTCGTCTGTAGCTTGGTGATGTCCGTCTTGATGGCGGCCACCGTGATGCTGATCGAGTCGGGTCCGTTGAAAGTACTTATGTCGCCGATGATGGTGACGACGTGATCGATGCGCTCGCTGAGTTGCTTCGTCACGTCTGTCGTGCAGCCTGGCGCTGCTGAGGCGTTAGCCTCTATGCTGTTGACGCGTGTGATAGTGGAATTCAACAGTTGATGCTGTAGCTGCTGCTGCATTGCCTCTGTGCGGATAGCACTTGTTAACGTAGTCATATCATTCTTGTATGTTTGTCGCTGCGTCGCGTCCGTGCGCAGATGTGACTGCAGCAGTGTATTATTCCACATAATACCTCTCATCATGCCCAGCAGCAAGTTAGCCAGGTTACTTGTCTCTGCCTCCGCCGGTGTCGGGTCTGCCTGCGTTTCTGTAGGCACAAAGATCATGTCTTGGAGTATCGCCGTCCACTGATGCTCACAAGCAATCAAGGACTCCGTGCTGCTGGCATTCCGTCTGTCTCGTGTCACTGCGTCAGTCTCAGTCGTTCGCTGAGCTTCGGCTGCCGCTTCATTGGCTAGCCGCTGACGTTCTGCCTCTGCTGTCTCCTTCCGGGCCTCGACGGCAGCTACGGCTTCCGTAAATGCCAGTAGCCGCCCACGATAATCAGCCGCTGGCTCATTGGCTCCTCGGTCTGGGTATGCGGGATGATCTCCGGTGGCGTCTTGTACCGTCAATGCCGTACTTGATGCTGCTGGAGTCGTCCATCTGCTGAGTTTCTTCGGTCTTGGAGGTACTGCAGGGCGGGCACGAACTGCGATTCTGGCACTGCGTCGTGGCAGTGCCCCGGTGTCCTGTTCCGTCGACATCAGTCYGAWCYGATGCGGTACTTGAGAAGTCCCGGTAATCACAGAACACGGGGGGTAGGGAGAGTGCGAACAGGGGTAGAACAATCAAGCAATATACATACAATCCCCTGTCCCACTGATGGACTGTAGACACCTAATCAAACGAAAAAAATAAATTTCCCGTAAACCCTTCGAAAAATTCGTAATAAGGAATTTATAACGATTTAATCAATAAAATTAATTAATGATAATTAACGAAATAAATCCGAATGATAATCAGTAAACAATGTTTGTAATAAAGATAACCAATTAATGATAATCAGTAAAACAATGTTTGTAAATAAAGATAACCAATTAATAATACGAATTTGAAAGGTATTATGATTGGGTCTCTTTGACATCAATATGAGACCGGGAGTTCTCCGTTTAATAAGTGAACTGCCCGGTAGTTGCAATTTAAGGTCAGATACGGCTTAGTGTGCTAAAATTTTCGGAAAATTTCAGAAGAAAAACGCTCGAATTTTCAAAAATGCGAATTTTCGGGAATTCCCACCGTCAAAATCC